AATGGCGGCGTAAATCCCGCCAGGTGTAACAGTGCCGTAAAGGGGCGGTAAATCACAGGCCGGGCGATGTTTACTCGCCGCGCGGTGGTCGCCCTGGACATGTGTCTATGCCACTGTTGTTGTTGTTGGCAGAGCTTGTTGCAATTTTGTCGTTGGCAAATTTTTTGGCTCCGTTTAGAAATTTTGAAGCATTCGTTTTATCAAAAGATACAATTTTTAGAAGGAATTTTGAGAAATAGGGTCAATGCATCTGGAGGTGAGTCATGTCCGCCCCATTTGACGCGCCGACGGTGGCGCCTCCACTGTTTGGGTGGCGGCGTTTGGAACTGCTGGCCGGCCGACCGACACATGCTACTTTGTTGTCTCCCTCGCTCACCTGGCGGGCCGAGGGTCTCGCTCTGTCTCGCTCTCGCGCTGACAGGCCGCGAATAAAGTGCAATAATTATGATTTTAACACGACATTTACGGCACCTCTGAGACGCGGGCCGCCGCCTCAGACGGCAGAAAAAAAAACGAAGCGCCTACTTTGTCGGGGACTTTCGTCCCGCGGTTTTTGTTTTATCCTCTTCATTTATTTTTTTTTTTGTCGTTATTGTTGGCCGATCCCTTTGTCGCTGGGTTTGTTTTGATTTGGGGGCGGATTTACTCTGAACGACTCTTTTTGGGCCTTTCGGCCGGCCGGCCAGTAAAGTAAACCCGTTGGCAATTAATTAGGAGACGAGCTGTGTCCGTTCTGCCGGTCACTTTGTCGGTGTAGAGGCGCTGCGGTGGTGACTCAGTGCTGTGATATCCTCTCTTCTTCTTGTAAAGTGGGTCTGTGCGGCGTTGAACCCACGCCTGTCGTGTCCACTTCCTCGGGCTTTATAGGACGCGAAAGCGAATACGCGGGTATAAAGATACCGGAGGACGTTTTACAGTTTCCGTTTTGTTGTATCTGTCGAGTAAAACTTGCAGGCCGCGATTGCTCTTTTGCCACATTTCTGGAAGGGATTCCTCATTTTTGTTTTTGCCGAGTCGTTCCCCGCTCAGCGTTGGCTAGCCGTGGTCAATTCCCAATTGCAGGGCAAAATACACCCTAAAAGTGATTTTTTTCGACAAGTTTTAATTTAATAATGCTTTAAGTAAAGTTAACTTGGTTTAAAATAAATTTTTTGTGCGTGTGTGTAACGCCGGGTGGGTCTGCAACGCACGCGTGTCCTGCCTACGTGTCTGTCCGTCTATGCCCCGTGTAATACAGACTTGCGGCGTGTGCACTCTGTGCTGGGGCGGGCTGGCGGGCTCCTTTACTTGCCTGGTCAGATTTTATGGCATTTATGATTTTACTGCCGCGTGGCCGATTTCTTAAAGTTTAGTGTTCATGTGTGGCGCGTCTGGCAGCTGTGCCGCGGTGCACTGCCGGTAGCTTCTCATTACACCTATCTCTCTCGGCTCGTGATCTCAATGCGCTTCTTTTATCTCTCTCGCCCCCTTGGCGCAATGCTAACGACTGAAGCACTGACGTACGCGTTCTTGAAAATTGGTATCTGCGTACGTGAATTGGTATCGGTTAGCAACCCCCGCGTTTTGTGGCACTTGTGCTGCAGGCTGTAGGCTCGTACACCCCGCGAATTGAGCGGGAAAAAATCGGCCAGTACTGCTAGTGTCTATATGCAAATGAGGCGGGCGTGATTTGGTGCCTGGAGAATCATAAAATGTCAATTTTTTTTCTTCCGCGGCACCTTGGCGCGTGCAATATGTATCCCGGATCGAATCGACTCGCCGTTTACGGCGCCGTCGTGGCGCTTCTTTTAATCGACGACCACAATGTAGCGATTCGGGGAATGAGGTGACGTCATCCGAGGCGTTGGTAACGATAAGTCTCACCTCGAACGAGTCGTTAACTTTATCAAATCGAGTGGCACCGCCAATCACTCGCCAGCTTCATGCCGTTTTGGAAGTAGTATCTCCAGAACCACTTGAAAATTTTGATTTCTTCGTAAAGTTTAGCGCTTAATTTTTTTTTTTCGTTTTAAAAGTTTGATGTGTTTTGTGACTTCTTCGGCAACTTATGAAAAATGACGAGACTGTCGTGCTGCTCGTATCAAATCGAGTCCCTCGTGGAGACGGCGGACTCGGTGTTTGAAGACTCTCTGGCACGCTAGGCCGCTATATGGGCACTGCGGTATAAAAACTTAAACCAATATTGTCGAGTCGACTGTTTGTCCGAGCCGACCGCGTCCACGTAAGGGGCTCAGGTGCAATGCGTCTTCTTCCATTTCTTAAAAGAATTAGTTTTTCGTTTGTTTTTTGTTTTTGCTAGAAGGTGCGCCCACGTTATGACTGTGCGTTGATGAGGTGATTTTAGACGACATCGCCCGACCTTTTACCGAGACACTGACCCTTTTGGCTGACCTTTTCGTCGGACACTTTTGACTGCCCCTTTTGACTGACCCTTTTGACCGCCCCTTTCGACCGCCCCTTTCGACTGCCCCTTTTGACTGACCCTTTCGACTGCCCACTTCGACTGCCCCTTTTGACTGGCCTTTTTGACTGACCCTTTCGACTGCCCCTTTCGACTGCCCCATTTGACTGACTGGGCTGCCGCGCCACTGGTAATGACTCGGCCTCGCTATCGCGGCGTCACGACGCTTTCCCCGGCCTCGGCGACTCCTGATATCGCACCGCATAATTACACTCGTGTAGAAACTAAACCTGTCCCTTTTGTTCTTGTTTTTTTTCTCGTTTCCGGAACGGCCGACAGTGTGGCGGGGTGCGTTCAATTAATTCTGCGCAATGAAACTGGCGTCGTGGTCTGCAATTGGCTGCCAGCGACCGGCGGGCAAAAGCGCTCCGGCAAAACCGAGCGGCCGTCCGGCAGGCAGGCTGGGCACGGTGGCCGGAAACGGTTTTAATGCAGCAAAAAGCAAAATGGCTGCCGGGGGAGGCAATTGGCCAAGAGGAGGAGGGGGAGGAGGGGGACAATGATGTTGACTCGGCATGGACGAGCCGTCCTCGGAGAGTTGAACGCACGGCGGGGGGAAAAATTGCAGAGACGAACTTGTCTTTGTGTTTTATTTCGGAAACCGCTGGAGTTTCTGTAGTGCTGCCCAAGGGGACTTTGATTTAGAATTGAATTTGCCGCCTTTTCCTTCGGGACGCGTTGGTTGTAAGTGTCGCCGTTTCCGACATGCGGCGCCGTCCGCGTCGTCGGCGTCCTGGTGGTGGTCTTCGTCGGCGTCCCGGTGGCGGTCGTCATCGCCGTCCTGGGTGGCGTCCTGTTGGCGGTCTTCGTCGCCGTCCTGGCGGTGTGTCGCCATGCGTTAAATGTTTTCATTTAGGCCCACTTAGTCCCGTCGTTCCGATAATCACCCCCGGGCGATTACGCTAATGGCGACTGCATTGTTTACGCCCCGTTTAATTATCAACATTGTCTTTATATCGCTCTCCGTCGGTTTGTTGTCCGGCGGTGCCTTGCCCTTACAGTGCAGCGCCGAGTCGCGATGACGGGGCGACTCGGGAGAATGTCGCCGTGATACGGACGGTGACATCGCGCGTGCCGCGCCGCTCCCCTCTCCTCTGTCTCACACACGGTGTGGCGCCTCGCGGCCGAATTAGAAAGTCGTCATGCGCGGCGTGTCTGTCTCATTCTGCATCTCTGTCGCACTGGCGGCCCGCGAAGGTGCCCGCCAAGGGGTGCGAGAGAGACGGAGCGACATGCCGCACCCTTTTCCGTTAGTACAATATTGGCGGAGCGGCTGTCTCGCTTCTCTGTGCGATAGAGAGAGAGGTCCGGATGGAAAATTGTCGGTGGAATCGACTTTGAAATCGATCTCTCGAAATTCCTCGACGCGACGCGGGGCTTCTTGGCTCGAGTGTGTTTGGCGGGGATTTTCCCCTCGCGTGAGTGTGTAGGCATTGTTTGCCCGAGCGAGAGGCCCCAAGGAGGCGCGTTTTGGCGGAAATACTCGGAAATGCTTTTATTGATGGAGGGGGAAAGGATGGTTGGGCTCCTTGCGCCGCTAGAGGCTCTGCAGCACCGCCTTGATTCGCCGTTGTCGTGTTGCAGTCCAACAACGAGGAGGAGGCCAGCGACCCCGAGCTGGGCGACGACGACAGCGACGACGTCCTTCGGCGGCTGCCCGTGCTGGGCGGGCTGGCGGCGGGGCTGGCCGGCGGGCTGGCGGGTGCGGCCGCGGCCGGCGGCGCGTCCAGCGGCCCGGGGACGCCAGCAGCCCGCACTCCAACGGCGACGCCGAGGAGGCCGGCGACGTGTCCGGCGAGGGCGAGCCGGACCACGACGAGCAGGACCACAAGCAGGTGAGGGAGTGTGTTCAACAGGCGGCCCCAGACGCGTTTTGAGCTCCAGAGTCGCTAAATGGGTCTCGAATCGAACGTGTGACCCCACCAATGGATTGCTCTCCGAACGAGGAATCCATTGGTGGGGTCACACGTTCGGTTCGAGTCCCATTTAGCGACTCTGGAGCTCAAAACGCGTCAAAGTTTGGCCTCGCCCATTGGTCACTGTGAGGCCTCGACGCTTCCCGCCTTGCGTTTCTCTCGTGAACATGGGCGCCGCCCGGACGGCGTCCCCGCGGTAGCCGCGCCACGCCGCCGGCTGTCTGAATTTATAATTTTATCACCCCTTAAGGCTGGCCGCGCCGTGGCGTATGCATGGCGTATGCATGGAGTGGGGCATGCTTGCCTGTCTTTTATGTGCTAATGCGTGTGTGGCTGGCGCTGCCGGCGCGGCTGATAAGGCGGCCTCGTTGAGAGCGTTTTCCTTTTCCGCTGCGCCGCCCCCGCCTGATTCGCTGGTGCGTTTGTTGCAGAACATCATTATCAACAACAACAACAACACGACGACGCCGGGCGGCGCGACGGGGCGGTCCTCGCTGGAGCGCGAGCTGTGCCGGCCGCCCAGCGCCCCGCAGCCGCCGCCGGGCCTCACGCCCACCAGCGGCGCCTTCTCGCTGCCCTTCCCCTTCCCCCACCCCGCCGCCTCCATGTCCATGACGGCGTCCATGGCGGCGGCCGCCGCCTTCCTGCCGCCCAGCCATGCGCCCAGCACGCCGACGGCCGCCCCCGCCAACGCGCAGCACCGCCACTCGGCGTCGTCGGCGTCCTCGCACTCGTCCGAGTCGTCCACGTCGTCGCTGCCGACGTACAGCTTCGAGGAGCAGTTTAAACAGGTGCGGCAGGCAAGTGACGTTCCAACCCCCTACCCTAGGGCCCGCCCCCAGACCCGCCCCCGCCGCCCCCAGCCCGTGTGTGCACAGTCCTGGTGAAACTTGGAACCCCAGAAACTGGTCAAATTGGGCAAAAATCATCAAAGGCCGAAAAAAAAATTCCAGTACCAAAATTCGTGTACCAACAGAAAAATGACGGCCCTCGATAACGCCGTGTGTGTTGATTCCTTCCCGTTGAAGACGATAAACCCATTGTGCTCGCACACGAGACGGCCGGGGTCCCCCCTGGGCGTCCCCCCTCGCTAACCTTCGCCCCCCTTTCTGTGTGCGCCCCTCCCTCAAACACCTGTTTTTTCAGTTTCTCCCTTTTTGCTCCTTGCTTTGACCCACGTGCACCGCTTTCCAAATATAATTTCACGGCCGGCGATTTTCATTTTGTGTGAGTGTGTGTGTGTGTGTCTGTCTGTCTGTCTGTCTGTCTGTCTGTCTGTCTGTCCCGCCGCCTCGCGTGACGCGATCCGCTCCGTTGCAACGATAGATCCGGTTTCGATGCCAAAATTGTCTAAATTGTCTAAATTATCGACGGGTGGGCCTCCTTGGCTCTTTTCCCTGAACACGGCGTGGCGCCTCGGAGCGGCCGAACCTCGGCGGCCGAACGCGCGTGCGGTCTGTCGATGCCGGGCCCCGTTAGCGTTTTAATACACGCGGACTGAGGGTCGTCGCTCCGTCTCCCTCGCGGGGCGTCCCGTGCGGGTGCGAGAGAGAGGGACGCCTCTCGGAATCGGTCTTGAATACTTTGGGAATAAATGGCGTTCGTTTTGGGCGCCCGGTTCGGACCATGCCGGCCGGGTCGGGTCGGCCTGGGCTTCTATTTCGCTCTTCCTGTGTCATTTACTTTCTATCCTCCTGCGAGGAGCGTGCTGGCTGATGCCCGTCTCGTATCGAAACTTTTCCACGCGCCTTTGCGTAGTTTAGGCGCTCGGAGGGTTGCTAAGGCACTCGAAGGGTTGCTTAAGGCACTCGGAGGGTTGCTTAAGGCACTCGGAGGGTCGCTTAAGGCACTCGGAGGGTTGCTTAAGGCACTCGGAGGGTTGCTTAAGGCACTCGGAGGGTTGCTTGAGGCACTCGGAGGGTCGCTTAAGGCACTCGAAGGGTTGCTTAAGGCACTCGTAGGTTGCTTAGGCATTCGGGGGAAGGCCCCTCAATTCTTGCATCAGGTCGCTTAAGTCTCGGGGGTCGCTTAAGTCCTCTTCTTAGGCACTCGGAGGGTTGCTTAAGACATTCGAAAGTTACTTGGAATGAGCGTGGCTCTCGCCTCATGTCTGGGAGCTTGGTTTCCTTTCCTGATTGGTGTCTACCTACGGGGGAAATGCACAATTATAGCATTCTCCTCCTCTCTTCTTCTTTCTCTCACTTCTCTCTCTCTCTGAGACTGCGCGGGCGTCGTGGGCTTAGAGTTCCCAGGGCCGAGACAAAGAGAGTGATTTGATTTCATCACAGACCCTGTCCAGACGACGATGAGAGGAAAGGTTAGCATGGTAATGCGTGTGTGTGTGTGTGCGTGTGTGTGGGAAGGCGACGGACGGGCGGACTGTACAGTATAGGTGCCGTTCTACCTACCTGAGCTCTGTTTGGTTATTAATCGTCACTTCTCGTCTGGTTATTCGTGGGGCCTCCGCTTGGGCACGGGGTTGTATTCGGGGCAGACACACTCGTTGTGTGTGTGTGTGTGTGTGTGTTAGCGACGCGTTCGGGTCGGGGGCTCCTGTTAGAGAGAGAGAGAGAGAGAGAGAAGAGAGAGAGAGAGAGAGAGAGAGACGGTTTGGGTGCCGTTTAGACGGTCTGGGCACGCCGGTGGCTCCCGAAGGCGCGCACGGGTGGTCGACCTTTTTAGTAGTGTGTCGGTATGAGAAATTTGGATCGAGACGCGAATTCTACGTAAAAGGGGTGGAAGGGTTGGCGGCTACTTCTGAGCGTGAGCGCTGCGCTTTCCGAAAGTTTTGACTTGGCCGCTGATGTTCTTCTCGGTCGGAGACCTTGTAACGCTCCTCCATCGGACGGACGGACAGACAGACAGACAGACGGACGGATCGACGGAGGAGGTGTTGACTAATGACGGTATTTAATAGGGTTGACGTCTCGCCGCCGCGTTCCATAAGGCATCAGGTATGGTGAACCCCTTTTTCGTTTTTTTTTTTCTCTGCGCGCCGCTTTCCGATTAAACAGCAGGGCCCCTCTGTGTGTGTGTGTGTGTGTGTGTGTGTGTGTGTGTGTGTGTGTGTGTGTGTGTGTGTGTGTCTGAGTCCGCCGCCGCCTTCGAATCCCCTTGCCTATCGACCGATATGGAAATGCGCGCCCTACCAAATCGAATGGTTTCTGGCTCGTTGTTCCATAGAGCCCCCCCGTGTTCCGTGTCCACGCTGTGCCGGGCGCTGGTTCGCGTCCCGGCCGCGGCGGAAAAAAAATTAGTATTTTGTGCCCGTTAGGGAAGCGTGCATGCGAGCACAACAAGACGAGAAACGTGAGAACGAGCGTGTACACATACGTACAGTACGGCTTCTCGCCCCCGGGCCCCGTCGTCGTCATGGCGACGCCCCCCCCCCCTCCCCTTTTCGTGCAGTGTGCAAGCCAGGGGCAGTACGGGGCTCGCTGCCTTTCAAATAAAGACCTAATGTTGCAGTGTGTGTGCCGGCACCGCCTCCTTCGGCCCCTTCGGCGATTCGCGTGCGAAATAAAACGAGGAAAAAAGCGGAAAAGAAACAATTTTTAATTTTTTTGCAGTGCCGTGCCTGCTACTTGCTGCAGGGACGGTCGCCTCGGAGGCTGGATGCGTCCGTGGCTGCAGTGTGCCGTCACGTTTATTGGCCCTCTTTTTCTAACGTACCCGTCTTGTTCTGTTTGATTGCAGGTGAGTTTCTTTCCGCTGTTGGTTGCCTCGTGTGCGATTCGCCGGCCCGGTGAGTGAGTGCTACACTGGGAGAATGAGCGCCGTTTGCAGTGTGGGCCCTGCCCAGTGGGCTAGACGCGTTTCGCGCTCGCTGAATGGCACTCGAACCGAACGTGTGACCCCACCGATGGATTGCTCTCCGAACGAGGAATCCATTGGTGGGGTCACACGTTCGGTTCCGAGTCCCATTTAGCGACTCTGGCGCTCGAAACGCGTCCGGGTTTTTGACCGCCTCCGCCGGTTGGCCCACTGTGGGCCACTATTCGCAGTCAGGCCCAGTGCGGCTCGCCACGGCCCGGCCTGATTATGCAGATGAGGGCCGGGTGCTCGCGAGCTGATCTGATTGGGCGGGCGCCGCCATGCTGGTGCCTCTCTCTCTCCCTCTCTCTCTAAAACTCGCTCTCTCGTTTGATCCAATCTGGTGGACGTTGCGCCCGTCCGCCCGCTCGGCCGCTCGGCTCCGCCCCTCACTGATTTCGTCATGTTGAAAATGGCTAAGCGGCTCAGATGTAATCCTCCTCCCCCTCCCTCCCCTCCGGTGCCCGTCTGGCCTTCCCGACGCCACCTGTCCGTCCCGTCCGATTCCTTCAAGGAGAAAATCGACGATCCAATCATCCCGGCCCTTCCCCCCTCCCCTCCCGCCCTTCGCTCTGCAAGACTCGCCGACAAATTTCTGCATGGTGGATGTAATAACACGATGCAGAGGCACCCCCCCCCCCCCTCCCCTTTCGCGGATGGAGGTTTTGTTGTACTTAATAAAGTGGTCGGCCGGCGGGCTGCGTCCGAACGCGTGCTTTCGTCGCCCCGTCTCTCTCTGTCTCACTCGTGCGAGAGAGAGAGAGAGAGAGAGAGAGAGAGAGAGAGAGAGAGAGAGAGAGAGAGAGAGGAGAGACGGTGTTCGGAACGAGCCCGCCGCCCGAGGCCAAGGCACGGCCTAAGAGTGTCTGCTCACCGCCATCGCACTGCTGCACTGCGAAGCCTGGCGAAGCGCTGCCAAGCCCTCGGCCGCTCCTCCTACCATGTAATTTCGATAAATACATATCGGCCGATCGTCGTAAAGTCGGAGGTGTATGGATTCATTTCTCATATCGTCCCCTCCCCCCCCCCCCTACCTCGGCCTGCGCATAGCGCGCTTACGTGGGAAGCGAGGCGTGCAACAACGCTATTGGCAGTCGCCCTGCCGATAAGCCGACTACGAGGCATTGTGATTTGAAATTCCCGCGCCGAGTGCGCTCTCTCTCTCTCTCTCTCTCTCTCTCTCTCTCTCTCTCTCTCTCTCTCTCTCTCTCTCTCTCTCTCTCTCTCTCTCTCAGCTGGGTGGGACGCCCCGCGGGTGCGAGAGAGACAGCACTGTTCGGAATCAAACGGCTTGCCGCCTCCTTGGGGCCCGACGCGGTAAATGCGAAACGGGCCGCCCAGGCCCGTGAAAGCAGAGAGAGAGAGAGAGAGAGAGAGAGAGAGAGAGGGAGAGAGAGAGAGGCGATGTCGGTCGAGGACGTCGGACTTTACCGTAATTTTGCCTTTTGCGTATTTATATGTTTCTTTCTTTTTTTCGCTCTTTTCCCTCGTCCGCGCGGCGCCGTCGGCCTGGCCGTTGGGCGCTATCCGCAGTGAGTGCAATCGCCGCTCTCTCCTCTGCGTTTTTTTAACCCCAGCCTGTCTTTATTGATTATCGTCTGCAGCTTCGGCCGTCAGCAAATTCGCAAATTCCGTCTCTTTTTGTGGTTCTTGTTTCCCCCCTCAAGTTCTGTTGTTGAAACCTGGCTGCTTGTTAGCGCTCTCTCTCTCTCTCTCTCTCTCTCTCTCTCTCTCTCTCTCTCTCTCTCTCTCTCTCTCTCTCTCTCTGATTTCCTTTTTTGCGGGTGGCGGCCGTTCCGGAGGAAAGGCCTGGACTTTTTTGTTCGCATTGGTGGCTGTTTTTGCGGCGCTGTGTTTTGTATGTTTGTGTGCGTGCGTGTGTGTGTGTGCGCGCGTCTGGAAGGGCGGAGTGGAGATTGCTGTAGCCTGGGATGCAAAAGTATTAATGTCGTTGGCTTCTGCCCCTCCCCCGCATTCTGAGAACAAC